TGATGTGAAAAAATAACAAATTAAATTAGGACACGTGACATTTAATCCCATAATAATATAAAAAATATATTTTGAATTTAAAAAAAAAATTACCTTCTATTTTCTATACTCTACCCCCACCCAGCAACCATTCCTCTTCCTTCTTTCTCTCCGCAAGCACCCACAAGTTCTTTTTCTTCTTCCTTTTTTTAAATTAAACAGCTAATATTATTTAACCCACAAGTTCTTCATCAGTTGGATGAAATCTAAACTCAAGTGACAATGAAACGGGTGCCATAATTTGGAACTTCTCGGTAGGCTCTTCCGAGGCGAGCGTAAACCAACCGCCTTTGATCCAGAGCTCCACCCTCCGCTTCTCGATGACGACACCCGTCGAGCGGAGCTCGCGGGCGAGGTTGAAGGGGTCTTGTGCAACCTTTGACCCCTTCGTCGACAACCTCTCATTTGTTTGACTACTCGCGGGGCCTAAGGGCATATCGGTTGAAGTAGATTCTTCTTTTGATCAATCAAAACCCCTTCCCCCCAGTATAGTGACCGCTTCCATGTTTTCCCCGAATTTCATCAGTTCCAGGCTCAAGTGCCTGTTCATCCATCTTCATTCCAAACAAAGACGAACATCTCCATTGAGTGACTGTAACTGCTATGGATTCGAACCTACGACCAATCGGTTAACAGTCGACCGCTCTACTATTGAGCTACTGAGGAACAACGGTCCGGCAGTCCCTGGACGGCTCTCGGTTCTTGAGCATGTTGGGGGATTAGGCGGCAGTTGAAAGAGCTGCTCGAAAGCTTGACGAAGAAGCGAAAAAAGCCTATCTATTCTATTTTCTTTCTTCAACTTTTCTTTTTTCTTTTTCTTTTTCTTTTCTAATTTAATAATATAGAGCAAGATATTGAAGAGGAAGATCCAAATTAAAAAGAAGAGGGTTCTAATTGAAAACTTAATAGTTCGAGAAGAAGGACGAGGAAGTTGAAGAAATTTTTCTATTTTTTTTTCTTTTCAGTTGAAGGAATTTGACGGAGATTTTATGATAAGAAGACAAATTAGCTGCTTTTTTAAAAAAATAATTCATTTTTTCGGATTAAATGATAGCTTTGCTAATCTTTCTTCTCAAGCTTAAACAACAATGGAGTTGCGCTGAAATAATGGAGTTTCATCGAAAAATTATAGAACCCAGATCTGATTTTTTTTTCCTTTTACTAAGATAGAAAGTAGGAGATTGAGTTTAAAGGTAGAGATAGAAGCGACGCGGACAGACTTCGTCCATTAGATCCAAATAATCCAAAGAGAAAAGCTTTTTAAGCTTTTAAAAAAGTAAAACCCAAATTTAATTTTCATCGAAAATAATAACATTTCGCTTGAAAATTATATGAAACCCAGATTTAATTACATGGAGTTTCACCGGAATTAATTCAGCAACGACAACAACATTATGGTGATGACATGAAAAAAAATTACTGTTGGGGAAAAAAATCTAAATTTTAAGCGAGACAAGAATGAAGAAGAAGAAGGAAATAAAGCAAAACAAATTTAAAAAAATCAGTCATACAGTTGGGGTGGGTCCA